CTCTGGGTGTTGGTTGGTTAGTATTTTTGTCTTTTGAGATGTGCAACTTGCAATTGGGGGAACAGATTGATTCGTTGTTGGTAGTGGCAAGTAGCCTTCAGCTTGTGGGGTTTGTACATTGGTGGCACTTTGACTCTGCACAAAGTGTTTTGTTCAAAGCTCCTTTAATTAAAAGGAAAATTAATGAAAAGAGTTTAAAAATTTTGAGTTTTAATAATAATGACAAAATAAAGAGTAAAATGAATAGTATCAGGTTTGACTTTTTAGTATAAAAATATGGTTTTTCGTTAAAGTGAACAGTACCACGGGTTTTTCGTTAAAACTCTCTTAATTAAATCCCTTCTCATTCGGGGGAGGAGAGAATGTGTTTTGATTGTGGTACACTGGTAACCGTGGTTTGCCCTTTGGTCCTGACCTCCCCAATTTTGGTGTTGAAAATTTAACCAAAACCTTGCTATTATTATACGCTTATATGTGAATAGGTGTGTTGAGAACATAAAATTATACATCGTAAGTTTCGACTTATAAAAATGATAGTTTGAGCATCTCTCTATTTGTTGCCAATTATGTTTTCAGTTGAATGCTATAATTTGAGTGGTGGTATTACTACATCTCAATTTATTGATAATACCTCTACTAAAACACTCTCCCATAACTTTTATTTTCTTTTCACTAAACGATATATTTACACTACAAGGTGGAAAATTTTGAATAAGTCACACCATGAGTCAACTATAATAATTTGTTATTGTACTCGTTATTTATAAGAGTCGAATATAAGATTTCTCACTTATAATGTTTTAAAAAGCGAGGGGTGAAGCCAAAATGTTTCATGGATTGACTCGCCTAGGCGATAGCCTCAAGATGTGACAATATATTTATCATGCCAAGTCAAGTTACAACACTAAAGTTGTAATTAAATCATGCCAACCACGCTACACACTAAAGTGGGCTTAAACCACATACTGGGAATTGCCATGCGGATTGTGGTGTGGGTGGTATAGAAGTTAATTGGATCTATGTGAAGCTAAGATCATGGAAGACTTTGGGCTTCTTGGGAGCACCAAAAGTCCATGCCCATAGTTTTTGGTTCCATGTGGGTAATTATGAGAGAGAATAAAACCAAGTTTTGCTTTTCCTTACAACCTAACTAGGATACTTAAGAAAACACCAAAACCTAATTAAAGCTGAGTTACCTACAAGATCACGTTCAAACATAGTGCAACACACTTCATTAATGAGGAGAGAAGAGATCTTTGCCTTCTAAGCATACACAGGAAAACCAATAAGAGCGTAAAAAAGAAGTCTGTGGAAATTGACCATGGAAGATGGTGCTCTGGGCAGTGTCCGCAACCTAGTCTTCATGAGGCTAGTAGTGTTTGTCAATGTTACACCAAAAAGAAAAGTCATAGCTGGGCCCATTTAAAAGAGAAATGAAAGCTTAGAAAGAATAGGAAGAAATTAAGGAAACCAAAGGATTCCTTAGGGGAAGCTAAAAGAGCCATATGCCTATAAAATTGGAGGGAAATCAGCACAAAAGAGAAGAGACAACGAGGGAAACAACACATGCATCGTAGAGAGAGAATCAAGGAAAGATTGCACCAGGCAAAACAAGCTTTTCTCTAAGTGCATGAAACCTTGATTCTGGAAAAGGAAATTCACCTAACCTTATGAGGATTTCTTCAAGCTTCCCTTAGATTTCCTTAGCCACTAAAAACATTCCAGAATATTAAGAACCCTAGATTAGCTATTTCTAAAACCATGCAAGCATGCACTGAGTTCTTTCTCACCCTAAGCCATTAAGCCTTTAGCTTCCACGCGACGCTTTACTCAGGCAGGTCATAACTTATTGCCATCATTCAGTCTTTGAGCTATTGATTCAATTGAGATACTTCCAAGACATGCTAATTCTTTCGAGGTATCTTAAGACTTGGTACCCGAAACTAACCAGAGGAGCTGAGAGGTTCCACCGATGCCTAAATCCAACTCAACCATAAGGTCCACCCTTCTTACAAATGGGGTGCCCATCTGTCAAATTTAGCTTGCTTCTCAAAGTTTTTTTAGAAAGAAAATCTAATGTCGGTTACAGATTACTTACACAACTTCTACACCCAAATTCACTAAAAAATACAGATAATTAACTATGATTTTGTTTATAATAAAAAAGGGTTAAGTCCATATAACTACCCAACCTTTAGGAGTAATTCTAAATTGATCTCAATCTTTTAAAACATTCCAAATAACTACCTAATGCTTTACAAAATGGACATCTGGTAGAATGCAAGCGTGAAGTGAGCAATATTTCACTCTCACGTCATTTATAAAGCTCCAAATCCCCAAACCGATCCCTTTTAACAAGACAAAATTAGTGTTTAACTTGTCTAAAAGGGTTCAATTTGAGGATTACTGACTCTAAAATGGTGTGGTAGTAAAAATTAGCTTCAATATTTGTCCACACATCACTTAACATTAATTACATTGTCAATTAATGGTATTGACATCATCACTTAACGTTGATGACCTAACGAGTTCCTATTTCTCAAGGCAGTTATTTGGAATGTTTTAAAAGGTTGAGATCAATTTGGAATCACTTCTATAGGTTGAGTAGTTATTCATACTTGACCCTAAAAAAATTTAACTATTTGTCTGAGTTAGGTATTTTTTTCTTCAGTTGTATAAGCTGATGCCAACTTTAGCGAGAAATTTTTGTATGTACCGTGAATGTCATTTTAGTAAAGTTAAATATAAGAGCAAGTCTAAAATCTTAATACATGCAATCGTAATAGTGATACAGCTGGAAATTTCAATCTTTAAAAGTTACATTTGATTTTTATCATAAGTTCATAACAAATTCTTCATTATACGATTAATCATACTTTCATAGAAGTGTCAATGATTTTGAAAATCTAGTATAGCCTATAGCCAACTTTATATTTGATTTCTAGTGTATTCTTGTAATAATTTTGTCTATAAATTTAATCTTCATAGCATTACTCTGCTATTTAATAAGTTTAGAAATAAGATCATTCGATGATCCTCTCTATATAATATTTTTTTTAGTAAGGTTAGGAAGACTAAATTTGTAGACAAAATTTGTAAACCAAATAATGTGTTACCAATAAAAAATGGGTAAGTCTATCAACGCTTAAGTAATAATTCAATCATCAACTTTCATATCATTTAGTTTACAAAATTTTACCTAAAAATTTAGGGAGCTTTAATGAAAAGAGCTTGAGCTAACAAATATTTAACAAAAAATCATCCCAAAATGTTATTTAACCAAAATGGCTCAAAGTTTAATAAAAAATCTATCCAAAACTATTGTCCATGGGCCAACAAATATTCTACCTGAGTCCATGCACCACCAAAAGAACCAAAACTATTGGCACTATCTTGGAAATGTCTCTGCCTCCTCATCTTCTTTTTCCCTTCATCTTTCCTTGAGCCACTTTCCTCATGCCTGCTATTTTCTTCATATCTGATCTTCTTCCCTACCTCCCCATTTTCTTTTCCCTTCTTACTTGACTTCTCTTTAAATGAAGCTTTCTTCTTCTTTCCTGATGATTGCCTATTGTCACTTGCAGTAGAATCATGTCCCCGCAGCAGGGGATCATCTTCATCATCTAACTGCCAATTGCCCGGTAATTCCTCAATTTCAAAAACAACCAAATCAAAGTTCAAATCAAAGTTGAAAAATGAAGCATTCATCGGAAAAAAGCAGCCGAAACAAGTTCAAAGAAGTTTAATGGCAAAAACCGGCGAAAAAGTGTCTGGAAAAAAAAAAAAACAAAACATAACACTGTTTCTAGAGAATCCAAAACATAACACTGTTTCTGGAAAAAAAAAACTCAGATACAGTGTTTGTTTTATCTATGCACAAACAAACACTGTATCTGGAAAGAAAAGAACCAAAGTCCAGAAACAGTGACTTAAATTCCAGAAATAGTGACTTAAATTTCAGAAACAGTGACTTAGATTCCAGAAACAAAGACATAAATTCCAGAAACAATGACTTAGATTTCAGAAACAACCTATGTTTCAACCTTTGACTGTTTCTTTTCTTTCATGCATCATTTGACTATATTTAAGAAATATGGAGCTTATTTTGCTTTGAATCCAAATACAGTGAATTTCACTATTTCTTTCTAGCTTAGATTCCAGAAACAGTAACTTAGATTTCAAAAACAGTGACTTAGATTCCGGAAACAGTGTTACTTAAAAATCCAGAAACAGTAACTTAGATTCCAGAAACAGTGACTTAGATTTCAGAAACAGTGTTACTTAAAATTCAGAAACAGTGACTCGTCGTTATTATTGAATAACATGTAGATTTCGAATTTATTTTCTGGAGAAACAAACGATAAACTCCACTGACGATGAAAAATTGAAAAACAGTACCTAGAATACACTATAAATAATAACGACGATCACATTTCAACGAAATAATACAAAATATAAATTAAATAACATGAGGATCTATATTTTTGTTTCAAAGAAAAAGAAGAAGGTCTGCAAAACAACGATGAACTCCATTAACAACTAAAATCTGGAATCAACCTAAAAAAGTTAGGAGTAAAATCGACAAATCATAATTTATTATAGTTGAACCATTTTTAGTCGGACTACTTTAATATGGGCATTGTACTAATCATTAAACAAAACTTATAACATAATTTTTTTTATTAAAACTAAAACTTTTCAAGCCTTTTTTATTAGTTTTCCTAAAAATTTAATCTTTCTAACTTTTTTTTTTCTTTCAATTTTTTCAAAAAAAAAAAAAAAAACGAAAGGGATGAAGAGGTGCCATTGGAAAAAGCAAACCTGCCAAGTGGTGTTCCTTCTATTGAGGGACTTTATTTTATATTTTTCATTTTTGGTACCCTTTTAATTTAATTTAATTTTTTCAGAAAAAGGAAGAGCTTTGACAAAATATTCGGAGCGAGGTTTGCTCCCCTCCATGATCCTAGTATTAGAAAGAATGCCAAAGATGGGGGCATGCACGCACGCGTTCCCATGCACGTTCTTCCTCCATCGCTGTGTGTCTGTCTGTCTGTATTTTATTTTCTTTTAATTTCCCTAATTAAACATAATAATAACAATAAGTTAGTTAATATTGTTGGTGTTTGGTTTAGAGAAGAAGGGTTGCGTGGTTTTGGTCTGAAGAGGAGGAAGAAGAAGAAAGCAGAAAGATGTTGCAGAGAGCTGCAAGCAATGCATATTCATGGTGGTGGGCCAGCCACATCAGAACTAAGCAATCCAAATGGCTCGAGCAGAATCTCCAAGGTACCTACCTACCTCCCCATTTCTGTTATTTTGGGTCACATGAGGAGGGATCGAACCCTAAACATAACCTAATCGTATCCGCTCTTAACCAATCTTCTAGTTTTTTTTAGGACTTTATTAGGTTCGTGTTTATTGGCTATGTTTTGATGATTTGGCTATGTCCATATTTTCAGTCCCAAACATTATTGCTATCATATCATATTTTGGATTTTGATCTAAATGGATTCAGATAGAATTTGTGTCTTAGTTACTCACTATTACAAATTTAACTCAATTTGTTTGGTTCGTAAAATATAAACTCAGAGAATTATAAACGACTTCACATTTCAATCGAATCAAATCTTCTTCCAAATTTTGCAGCTGATAAAAACAAAAATCTGTTAATTTGAAACAATATGGCTTATCATTAATCGTCGAAGGTTTCGCAGAAAATACTGCACTTTTTCTTGTTCTTGAACCAGATCTTCTCAAAACGTAATATTTATAAACATGTTTCTTGAACTTCCAGAGTTTTCTGTGAACCAAATAGTTATGATCTTCTTATATTTGAGTTGTACACTATAATTTCGGTCACCCGAAAAGAAGTTGCATCTATCTGCTGGAAATTGAATGCACAGTGATATGGATATTGCAGATATGGAGGAAAAGGTACAAACTGTACTTAAACTCATTCAAGAGGATGGAGACTCCTTTGCCAAGAGAGCAGAAATGTACTTCAAAAATAGACCGGAGCTGATACAATTTGTCGAGGAAACCTACAGAGCTTACCGCTCCTTGGCTGAGCGGTATGATCACATTTCAACAGAGCTACAAAATGCCAACAACACAATCGCTTCTGTTTTCCCGGAACAAGTTCAGTTTGCGATGGATGACGAAGATGAATATCCCTCACCTAAAATGCCTAGAAGGCCTCCAGATATCTCAAAATGGAGCATCCCAGAGGTCCCCCCAAAGGGTCCTACTAAAGATTTAAGGAGTCCTCTCACGAAAACAACATCGAAAAATAAGCTGGAGCCTCAGCGATCAATGAAATCCTTGTCTGCTAAAACAGTTCCTAAATCTGGCTTGACCAAACCTCAGGCACGTGAAGAGATTGACAAGATGCAGAAACAGATTCTGTCCCTACAAACGGAGAAAGAGTTTGTAAAAAGTTCGTATGAGAATGGACTTGCAAAGTACTGGGCAATCGAGAACCAAATCAAGGGAATGCAGGAGAAAGTATGCAGCTTGCAAGATGAATTTGGTGAGGGTATGGTCATTGAAGATAACGAGGCTCGGAATTTGATGGCAGCAGCTGCTTTGAAGTCATGCCAAGATACATTGGTTGACTTGCAGGCGAAACAGGAAAGTACAGCTGAGGAAGCGAGGGTTGAGTCAAAAAGGGTTAAGGATGCCCGGAAGAACTTAGAGACTCTTAAGAACGAGTTTCATCCTGATCAAACAAATCCGGAAAATCCAAATGTAAAGGATGAATCTGTAAATGAAGAAAATGAAAAAAGCTTGGACCAGGAAGTGGACAAGGCAACTCAACAGAGACAGAAATTAGAGTTATTACGGGAGAAAATTAAGGAACACTATGACGCTGCACCCGATCCATCTCTCACTGTTTCGGAAATGGCAGATAAGATTGACGAGCTCGTGACTAAGGTGATCAGTTTAGAAAGTGCAGTTTCATCACAGACTGCCCTAGTCAAGAGATTAAGAAGCGAAAATGACGAGATTCATGAACAGATTAAAAATCTGGGAGGTGACAAGGCTACTCTCATAGGTGACAAGGAAGACTTGAGCAAAAAGCTGAAGGAATTGGAGGAAAAGCTGCATCAAGTTCAGGATCTTAACCGGAGTGTTGAAAACCAGAATGACAACCTTCAGACACATTTTACCGAAGCAACTTGCAATCTCGATCACATTTCTCATAAACTGGAAACCGTGAAGCCAGATGAGGAGGTCAAGGTCACAGGCTCATCAGAAACAAAAGAGGAATCTCTTGTGGAAACCAAGTTGCAGAAATCTCTTGAAGGAGAAGAAAATGCGGTCCATCCTGTCACTGGATCCAAGGTACTGGAGGAAGCAAAGTCAGATGAGGAACTGAAGCCTACAGTTTCACTGCAAAAAGATGAAGAACTTCCGCCTGAAGTGAGACCGTTAAAAGAGTCCACAGAACATAAGGAAATAGAAAAGTCGAATGATGGTTCTGTAAAAGCCACGGATGCTCTTATTACTTCTGCCGCGGATCAAGGAAAAGATGTTTTTCAATGCCTGGAAATTAATAATGCGGTAAATCCTGTCACTGGCTCCAGGGTAGTACAGGAAGCGAAGTCAGATGAGGAACTGAAGGCTACAGTTTCACAGCAAAAAGATGAAGAATCTCTGGATGAAGGGAGACCGTCAAAAGAGTCCACAGAACATAAGGAAATAGAAAATCCTGCTCATGGTTCTGTACAACCTACAGATGCTCTCAGTACTTCTGCTGAAAATCAAGGAAAAGATGTTTACGAATCCCCGGAAATTAATATCGAAGTTGAGGAACAATCAACAAGGAACGAAGATGAGCCAGACTGGCAGAAATTGTTTGTGCATGGGATGGAGGACAGAGAGAAGATTCTATTGACACAGTACACGATAACACTTCGGAACTACAAGGATCTGAAGAAGAAATTCAGTGAAGCAGAGAACGACCTCTTTGAAACATCAGTGCAGATGAAAGAATTGAAGAGTGCCAGTGCCATGAAGGATGAAGAGATTAAATCGTTGCATAAGAAACTGGATCTTCTGTTACAGAGTTTAGGTAAAACCAAAGACTCAGAAGAGTTTAAAGCTTTAGATCACCCGCAGACCCCAACGAGTGGTTCAGCAGATAAGAAAGAGGATGATCAATTTGAGGGAACTTCGGAAATAGAAGAAAAATTCCGTTCGAACATTGATGAACTGTTGGAGGAGAACCTGGATTTCTGGTTAAAATTTAGCACTTCATTCCACCAAGTACAACAATTCGAAACAACCGTCCAAGATTTGCAGTCTGAGATATCCAAGCTTGAGGAGAAACGAAAGAAACAAGACGGAAGTAGTCATGCAAAATATTCTATGAAATCAGATGCACGACCGATATACCAGCACCTAATGGAGATACAGACTGAACTGAATGTTTGGTTGGAAAAGGGTGCACTACTGAAAGACGAGCTGCAGTGCAGATTCAAGTCTTTGTGCAGCATTCAAGAAGAAATAACAAGGGCTTTGAAGACGAGTGCCGAGGACGGTGACTTCAAGTTTACAAGCTATCAAGCCGCAAAGTTCCAAGGCGAGATTTTAAATATGAAACAAGAGAATAACAAGGTTGCAGACGAGTTGCAAGCGGGATTGGATCATGTGAACGCACTCCAACTTGAAATAGATAAAAGTATGGCAAAGTTGAATGAGGATTACAGGCTCGCTGGATCAAAGAAGCAACCAGCTCCACAGCTAGCCCACTCTGAGAGTCGTTCCCGAGTGCCCTTACAGTCATTTATATTTGGCGTAGCACCAAAGAAGCAAAAGCGATCAATCTTCGCTGTTGTGGCCCCTGCAATGCATAAGAGATACCAAGATTCAAAAGCTAAATCATCTCAGCTGTAGATCGTTTCATTGTGGACGTTTTGTTTTCCTTGCTTTCTTGTCAACTTTTGAATAGTTTTTCGACAGGTTTCTGTGATTTTTTTCCTTTTCTTTTAGGTCTCCTTCCTTTTCGTTTTTTTTTTTTTTTTTATCGGGGAGAACATGTCATTTAATTACCATGCATTATTGTAGCTTGTAAAGTATCAAACAGCAGGAGCATTTAAGCCATCTAATTACCATTAAATCATGGTCTTCAATTTTTATACATTATGTTCCATTGGATTTCCAAATGCTTTAAATTTCTCCATATTGGAATCCGATGAAATCCAATCAAACATAGCTGATAAGAAAACTTTCCTCGTATGACTCGGATGAACACACGACCTCATTTGCAATTGAAACTTAATCAATCATGAAACTGCAGGCTTCCGTTCCACATAATAGAGTAATAACATAAGGACGAACACCATACATGATCAAACAATCGCCTTATTATTCAGCAAACTATAGTGAATAATGTAAAGCTTTCCTATACATTACTGGGCACAAATCTAATGCTAAAATCTTTATTCTGTGACCCTTCCAGCCACCAAGCCATAGTCATATACCACTTGAGATTTCTAAACACGCACCACTTTTCGCTAACCTTTAATGTAACCTCCCACGTTCAAGCTGCCTAATCAAGGCAACTCACCATATAGATAACATCCTTTCACTCTTTAGAAACAGCTCCCCTCGCGAAAGAGAAGGCCTCAATGCCAATCTATAGGATCATGGCTCTTTTGTATCGAATGACACTTCTGATACTACCTTTGCTCCTCTTCCTTTGGACATGTAAAGGCCTATGTGATGCATTAGCTCCTGGAAAGACAATAAAATTTCAAACATGAAGAGCTCTGTTGTTTGAATAACAAATATTTAATAGCAAGCAGTAGATTCTAGCATTCTGCCGTTGATGATGGACCATAATGGGATTATGGGATTATCTTTACCTACTGTCACTTCAAAACTTAGCATCTTAATATATTCATTGCTGACCAAACAAGAATATCCACTCAGAGAACACACAAAGATGACAGATATAGGTATTTTGTCCGAGAATTCATATCTGATTGACACAGCAAACCCAAAAATAAAGGCAAGAAGATGCGGAAAGAAGTCAGATTTCTCTATTCGCCTTGTTTATACCTGCTGCTTACTTTACCGGATTTCATTTTGACATTCAATTTCAGCGTTGTCTCAATCTTATGTAGCCAAAAATACATATCAGAACAAGACAACGAGTAGCGATATAAAGATTTATCTGAAGTACCTGGGGATGAGCTATAACATCTTCGGCAGTTTTTGCAATCTCAACTGGAATATCAAAAGTGGCACAACCATGGGAATACACAATGACATCCTCCAGAGGGGCAAGAAGACGATGATTTCTTGCAGACAAAGTGGTACATACGAAGTCTAGCACACATATATCCGTGCATATTCCTACAACCAAGATCTTTAAAAACAAGAACAAGAAACAGCAAAATTAGACAGGGATAACAGAACTTCAAAGGGCACCAACTAAACAAGTCAACATCAAATACAAACTGCAAATCACAAGGGGATGAACACATTGTGGGGTTTAGGAAATGCTTACCGCTTTGATCTGATTACTTTGAACCCAATTAACAAACATATTTGAGCCATCTTTCTCAATGGATCCTAGAAACCCGTCAATGCAATCTTTACGTCTAAGTGTCACGTTTGGTTCGTTCTCCAACCATTGCAGGGCTGTGTATGTAATTATATAATTAAAAGAGAGCTACTAAAATATCAAAACAAAGAAAGTGAATTAAGCTAACCCATAAATTATATAGTAGGTACTGCAACAACCGAGAAGAAAAACAGAACGAAAAACATAAACGAAGAAGGAACAAAAGGGTACCTGGGACTAGATTTGATTCATCAGTTCCAACAATGCAATGGGGAGGGTAAGGATCCTCGGGAATGTCAGGGTGATGAGAATCAAGGAAAGCAAAAACAGGCCATTTCTTGTCACAGAAAACTCTGGCTAGTCTCACTGACTCTTGCACCATTTCAGAAATTTGTTTATCAGGCTGTCTTGGTGCCTATTCAATATAACATGCCATGCCCACGTACATCAATATGATATGCACAAAAACTTATAGGCCTCGTTTGGTGTCTAAGATTGAAATGGATTGGATAACACACTAGATTCAACGCAAGTTAAACTTTCAAATGTTGTCTAAGTTGAACGAAGAAGATGGTTAGTCGCGAAGAAAACTTATCCCTCCCAATTGAATCCGGTGAGCAATCTAATCCAATCTCATCCTTGAGATCAACAATCATATTCCTTTGTTTTCATTATTCGAACAATATTCTAATCTAAACTACGAGGAGGGGGAATCCGTACTTCATTAAAAAAAAAAAAAAAAAACTCCAGCCAACTTGGATGCGCCAACGTCAGCAAGATCTTATTGTGTTTGATAGATTGGACCACGGAAAAAAATGCGAGCAAGGGGAAGAATGAAATTACCAAATTGCCAGCACCGACGGTGCAGAAGCCATTAACGACGTCGACGAGGACAAGGCCGGTGGTGGTGTGACCGGTGAGCAGCAGGGATTCTTGGTGCACCGGAAGCTGCTTCTTCAACAAATCAATCGTCTGCGGAACCATTTTTCTTCTGTTCTTTCCTTTCGATCAAACTTTTGCTGCGGATGAAGAAAAAATGACCCCAATAAGGAATCAAGTGAGTCAAGAAAATTGAGAGGAAACGTGTTCCGGACTCCGTGTGTGATAACAACACCCAGTCAACGTAATAGGGTGAAGGAACATTGGCCAACCAGAAGGGATTTTGGACCGTTGGATTAGATAAGTTTGTTGAATAGAAGAACCTCAGACCAACTAGGATAATGGTCGTGAAATAACCGCGTTTTTGGCGTACTTGCACTATTTTATTTGAGTTGGGAAAGGAACTCCAAGAAACTCCAAACGAAAGGAGGAAGAGAAAGATAAACACCAAGTTTGGTTTTTAGCTTTTGGGTTTATTATGTTGGTATTTGCTACCTTTTTGAGTTTTAACTTTTAAGTACCTTATTTTCCCTTTTAAAACTTGGGAAAGGTTGTCATTTAGCACTACGTTTTAGCGATATTCATCTTTACTTGTAAGTAAAAGGTTTTAGGTTCGATTCTCGTTAAAGGCGAATTTGAACCACATTATTGCTAGTTCAAGAATGAAGTAATAAATTGATTGCAAACTCGTCACTTCCAAGTTAAACTGTAAAAATGATCGAGCCTCAATGAACCGGCTCCCCTTTTTTGAGTTGTAAGCTAGCCTGACTCAATTTTAGGGTCGGGCTTTATCCAGCCCCATTTAAAATTGGTAGGACATTTTAGGCCCTTGGTCGGTCCTAAGCACAACCCTTAAACCCAGTTCTTACTCCTAGACTGATATAGCTAGATGTAATTTAAATACTTTTGAACTTTAATATAATTAACTTGTTCTTTATTACTTCGACAATTTAATTGACTATATTAACTAATCAAACACCTTAATTGAAATGGTCGTTTTTTTTTCTTTCTAAATAGTTGAAATGGTAATTTTCTTCTAAATAGTTGAAATGGTAATTGACAATTAATAAAAGTAAAAATTTTTATATTCAATTCAACAACATTTGCAGTCTTTATATTCAAATGAAAATGATTAAAGAGCCAAAAATTGGACTGGGCTGGGCGGCTTGCTCATAGGCCCTTGAGTTGTGTGAAGAGTGTTGGTTGCTAAACATCAATGCTCGAAGAACGCACGAAGGACGGAAGGATGGCGATCGTAGTTAAACAAAGATGCGTACACAACGTGATCCACGTTGGTAATCATATCTTTGGATCGGCTCAAGATATCTTCAAGACACTCCTAGTAAAACTCAACATAGGTAGCTTCCCCAGTAGTCGACAAGGCACTACTCAAAGTCACAGCTCCGCTATGAATGCGATCACCAAGAAGCTCAAACGAAGTCGGTGAATTATCATGAACATGATGCGAAGGGTTCAAAACCAGAACCTTCAATGTACATGCCTTCTCCTTTGTGGTTGGTCAACCAAAATTTGCCACCTCCCAAGGCACATTACAAGACCACAACTTGATGTGCATCAAGTTGTCTTTGGCGGGAAGAACAAGCGCCTTAGGACTAGTCAACGTATTTTCGTATTATTAATTTCAACACGTTTATAGGTACGACGTATTTTTTTTTTCTTGAGAAGCCCCTCGATCGCGTATTGTTGTGAAAAAAAAAACTTGAGCTGCCAACTGGCAGCTAAAGAAGAGAAAAAAAAAATGAGGAGAAGCTGCCTAATGGCAGCGAGGGAAAGGAAAAGAAGGGGGAACCGGAAAGAGGAGGGAGGTGGGATGAATCGGGGGAGGAAAGAGGAAGCAGGGGAACAAATCAGAGAGGGGAAAGAGGGGACGAGAGAAAGGGAGAGCAGCATGGGATCAAGGATCCCTACTCAGCTTGTGCGACCCGACCCGGTAAGAAGTAATGGAACCGTGGGTTCCTCCGGCCAAATTTCGGCGAATTAAACCGAGCCACCACCTGGAAATCACTCCATGACCTTTCCTCTACCCATTCCACTCCAAAATTGATGGAATTTGCCCTTGAAATTGTGAAACCCGCACGGTGGGTGAGACGAGGTTCGTGGTGGCGACCCATCAACTGTGAAGGTAACTCAACCAATTACCATCACCAATAGGCTCCCCTCAACCCCAGGAACAAAGCCCAAGTCGTGGTGGAGGCATTGGAACTCATATGGAGGTCGAATTGAAGCACACCCAATTCTACGGTTCCGACGGTTCGTGGACGATTTGAGGTGCTTCCCGGCTAAATTGAACTTGGCCACAGGTATGAAAACTGCTCCACTCACTGAGATCTACTTGCTTGTAAAATTTGGTAATTTTTGAAAATAGTTAAATTTTCCGACGACCAGGGTGCGGCCGATCGCCACGTGTGTCGGTGTGTGCAGCGGTGCGTGGGCTGA